CTTACTATTATGTTAATTTTACGGTTTTTTAATAGTTAAAATCGCTTTTCCTTCAAGAATATTTCGTTGAAAATTCACGGATAACTTTAAATGAATGTCAGTTACATGTGCAATTTCTAATAATTATAAAGTAACAGAAGTTAAGAAATATATATACATATAAATTATAAGAAGAAAGAAATATAAGACATAGTGAAAAATATATGAACAATGTGCCAAAACATAATATTGTAATTAATATCATTACAATAATTACATGTAATATTGTTTAGTAAAATACAAAGTTCTCAGACTTTTATGCTAAATATAATATATTTTATGTATTTAAAAAGATTTTTGTTGACCGTTGTCAATTAATTAATGCAAAAGATTAATCTAATGTTGATTACTAATTATTAACGATTTAACGATACATGTGATTATTTCGATTTTTGAACATTTTAATGAATTCTAGATGTTTGTGGAATTCAATTCTTTTTCTACATTTTTTAAGAGAAAATATATATTGAAATTATAAGTAAATATTAAATATTTTATGTTACACTCTTAACTAGCAAAATAATCATTGAATTACCTGGTCTCGAATAAGAGTGCAAATCTTTAGAAGACAGATCCATTTTAAAATAGTCGCGTTATAGCTTCTCCAAATAACACTGATCGATACTGAACTGTCCACGAGGACACTGTATCGTTTTTAACTTCTACCTCTCTCCTCCTTTTCTTGTTTCGACAACATCGTTTGTTTATTACGATATCGAAAAATAGCTGTAAATAGTGCATAAATGATTGGATATATTTGACAAATCAAATTAGTGGTATGCAAAGTTTATTTAATTTAAATGTACTTTCTAAACTTTGCTCGTTTTACATCTCTTTTTTGAAATTTAAATATTAGAACATCTCGTAGCGCATAGCCGAGATGCTGAATATGCTGTTGAACAATATATAGATATGATAGTAGCGGAAATATAATTGGAATGACTGTATAGAAATTGGTACAAATTTCAAGCGTCAATTTTAATCACGTGATCTGTTCTGACGCTAAAAAATGAACGTCGAACATCAGTATGAAATATCAAATCTTTAAAGCAAAATTTCGAGATTTAGACTTTGCGTCGCAATATCTCCTCATATAAGGCACGTAGAAAAAAAATAAAAAATAAAAAAACATTTCTGTTATATAATTCAAATTTAAGCTATCGGCGAAGCGTACTTAGAAATTGATCGGTTCAGCCGTTATTCCGATAATCTCGGGTGCTCGCCGGCTCGTGAAGAGACACGATCCGATCTCGCGCGTACTCTTTTAGCGCCGAGGCAGTGTCTCCCGATGAAATTGAGGCAGGTACTGGTTACCGTGTGTAACAATTATATAAACAAATGACTATATAATCACGCAACGATGTTGTATAACGCCCGCGGAGTTGTAATATAACGATCATGTAACGGTCGCAAAACTGCACACCAATAATGTAAATATGTAAATAATAACCGCGGGATTTTTGTCGGCGACGTTTCTGCCTCATAAAGTATTCCCGCGAGCTGTGACAAGTACGAGGACGGCGAGGAACGTTTTGCAATTTTTATTATTCGATGAAAAATCGACGCCCTCCTCCCCTCCCCCCTC